CCTTAGCCACCTGAGCCACAGGTGCCAAGCCATGGCTATTTTCTTAATGATGAATTAATCACATGAACTAATCACAAAATAAACTCTGCCTGGTTCACTTTGGCTTCCTTTCTTGAAAGATGCGAATAAACCAGAACAATATACTTTGTTACATTTTCTTTTCTTCCTTTTTTTTCTGAGACAGTGTCTCACTTTGTCACCATGGGTAGAGTGCCCTAGCATCATAGCTCACAGCAACCTCAAATGCTCAGACTCAAGCGATTCTCTTGCCTCAGCCTCCCCAGTAGCTGGAACTATAGCCGCCTGCCACAATGCCCAGCTCTTTTTAGAGACTGGATCTCACTCTTGCTCAGGCTGGTCTCAAACTCCTGAGGTCAGGCAATCTACCTGCCTATGCCTACCAGAGTGCTAGGAGTACCCCCATGAGCCACCACACCCAGCCTACTTTGTTACTTTTTCAAAAGAAAATTACAACACGCAACAGAAAGCCATTTAATAGGTATCAAGAAATAGATGATAGACTTAGTGCCTGTAGCACAGTGGTTACAGTGCTGGCCACATACACGGAGGCCAGCCAATCCAGGCCAGCTAAGTAACAATGACAACTGCAACAGAAAAACAGCCGGGTGTTGTGGCAGGCACCTGTAGTCTCAGCTACTTGGGAGGCTGAGGCAAGAAAATCACTTAAGCCCAAGAGTTTGAGGGTGACATAGTGAGACTCTGTCTCCAAAAAAAGAAAAAAGAACATAACTGAATGAATAAAGAAATTCTAGTATATTATAGTTAATTGCTGGAATGGTCAATGACTCATTTAAGAAGGGTACAATGATGTAAAAGTGTTCTTATAATGGTTTTCTTCTAAAGCTAAAAATGAACAGAAAATTCTTTTTATCCCCAAAGACCTGCCAAATTTGTACAATTAAATTTACATCTATAAAATAAATAGGCTTTTATTTAACTTTAAAAAACTTAGTTATAGAATTAAAAACAATTACCAATTAGTGTTGTTCAGAGAGAACATTTACCATAAATTCCAACCAAACTAATATTACTTCTGATAGTGCCTTCTAGGCTTTACTGATGAATTAACAAATTGAACTCTAAAATATCTGTAAAAGAAAAAGTTGAGTGGTACTCAGCTATTGAGGAGATTCTTCCTAGATCACAAACACAATTTCATCTCAAGAAGTGAGGATAAGATCCCTCATTACTTACTCTTTCCTTTCCTAATTATATCAATGGAAAAATTAAGACTTCTTAATCAAGAAAATAAAAGTGCTAGGCTTGGCGCCTATGGCTCAAGCGGCTAAGGCGCCAGCCACATACACCTAAGGTGGCGGGTTCAAATTCAGCCTGGGCCCCGCCAAACGACAATAATGGCTGCAACCAAAAAATAGCCGGGCATTGTGGTGGGCGCCTGTGGTCCCAGCTACTTGGGAGGCTGAGGCAGGAGACTCACTTGAACCCAGGAGTTGGAGGTTGCTGTGAGCAGTGAAGTCATAGCATTCTACCCAAGGGGACAGCTTGAGGCTCTGTCTCAAAAAAAAAAAATAAAAAAAGAAAGAAAAAAGTGCTGATGGGATGTACCCAGGTTGGAGGTTAGATTGGTGGGAAGGAATCTATCACATAAATTTTTTACTGATTACCTATGAAGGATCCCAGCTTTATGGATACAGCTCACTGCTGAAACAATCTGAAATAGGTACCACACTACCATCTGCAGAGACAAAAGAAATTATGTTTGGATTAGAAATAAAAAGCTCCACTTAAATAAACACACACACACACAACAAAGGAAACTGCAACCGGAGGTTAAAATTCAACACAATTTAACATCTTTTAATTGTAGGTTGAGTAAGCAAAGAAATGTGTAGGGGTTAAAAAAAAGAAAAAAACAACAGGTTATCATAAAATAATTGAATGGCAACATGAAATATAGTATGGTGAAGCAGATTTGTGGAAAGAAACCCCGGAAGAATACAAAGCTATAGAAAACTGGGCATACCAGTATGCAGTAACAGAACCAGGAAAGAAAGCCCATAGAGAACCATGATGTGGAGGTAAAACATTTAAGAAGCACTAGAGAAAGTTTCCTTGTTAGAGGTTTCCTTTCTCATGAATGTCAGAGCCAGGGAAGAGTCTGAACAAAAGGAAAAAAAAAAACACTCTTCACTGTTCAAAGAGTAAGCATAGAATTAGAATATAAGAATCACAACATTATAATTCTAGCTTCCTTCCACAGAAATAGGAATTACCTCTTCCTCAAACAACTTGTCCTTCTGACGAAGGATTTTGTCATACAGGTTTCCTCCTGGAATTAAACAAGAGACAGGGTTAAATTTCTTTCTTTCCTTTTTTTTTTTTTGAGAGAGAGCCTCAAGGGTCACCCTGGGTAGAGTGCTGTTAACATCACAGCTCACAGCAACCTCCAACTCCTGGGTTCAAGTGACTCTCCTGTCTCTGCCTCCCAAGCAGCTGGGACCACAGGCATCTGCCACAATGCCTGGCTATTTTTTGGTTGCAGCCATCATTGTTATTTGGCAGGCCCAGGCTGGATTTGAACCCTCCAGTTTAGGTGTATGTGGCTGTTGCCTTAGCTGCTTGAGCCACAGGTGCGGAGCCAAGGGTTAAATTTCTTAACAGAGATCAAAGCTTGGATCTTGTATCTAACAGGGTTTTGTTTTGAGATAGGGTCTCACTCTGTCACCCAAGTGATCCTCTGGCCTCAGCCTCCTGAGTTCTAATAGGGTTTTAACAAGCAACCAAAGGAAATGAAGAATTCTGCTTTCTGTCCACAGGAAACTACTTCCCTCTTGGCTTTCAGAAAAATGTGATTAATGACCATCCTCGTAGCTGTAGCCCCCAATTAGCAAAATATCTTCAAAATCAGATGATTTACCTTTCCCAAGTTTCTATTAAGGAATCTGTAATATTTTTGTAACAATTCTCTCAGTGGGACTAATGGAACATCTGGATTATACCTGTGATGCAGTGTTTTGTATGTACAGGATGTATATAAACAAATTCTTTTTCTTTCTACTTTACACTGAAAACTTTCCCCTTAATTTAGGGTCCATTCCTAGATTGTTTCCAGTAACTACTCCCTTTATTAATTCCTTCCTGTGAAGTAAGTATGAATTTGCTTCTGTCTTTCCTTTAGAAAATAATACAAATTCCAAGTGATCATGGTTCAACTTACTTCCCACCCACAATTATAACTCACACTTTAGTCCTGGCTAAGTTTTTACAACTTCTCTTCCCTGAAATTTAATATCTCTGAATTTCAATGAATGTATCATTTCTTCTAGTTCCTCCTAACTACAAAGGACATTAACTACTTAGGGCTTCTGCTACTTCAAACTCTGTAATATGATCTTGAATATTTAACATTGATCCTGATCAGAACCAGAAACAATCATGATATACATGAGTCTAGACAAGAAAGTTATAAGCAAAGAATACATCAGGACTTCCTTATGCAGTTCAGGGAAAGGGCTCTGGGGGGTTCTCTGTAAGATAAAGATAACAGCTAGTGTAGCAGGCATTAAACACTTGCTATATACCAATACTGTGCTATAGGCTTTACATATTCATTTAATACAACAACTTTAGAAAGAACTACTGTTATCAACAAATTCACTTAAAAATGAAGAAACTGAGGCACAGAGAATTTTCTTAAGGTTATAGAGCTAGAAAGCAGCAGAAATTGGGATGTGGGTTCACAGCCTATTTTCTTAACAACTAGACAATAACGCTACCATACAAGCAAAATGATCCCAAAAAATCAGAAACCAGGTAAGTAAGGCCATGCTTTCTACACATTATTTTTATTTAGTTGTAATTTTGGGGCTACTTTTTTTTCTTTTTGAGACAGAGTTTCACTATGTTGCCCTCAGTAGAGTCCCATGGCATCACAGCTCACAGCAACCTCCAACTCTCAGGCTTAAGTGATTCTCTTGCCTCAGCTTCCCAAGTACCTGGGACTGCAGGTGCCCGCCACAATGTCCAGCTATTTTTTTGTAGTAGTTGTCATTGTTGTTTAGCAGGCTAAGGCTAGGGCCAGGTTTGAAACCGCCAGCCATGGTGTATATGGCTGGCGCCCTAACCACTGAGCTTAGGCACCAAGCCTTTGGGGCCACTTTTCAACAGGACAGCTTTAGCTGAAGGCAATACAAATAAATACTAGGTATCACCTATAAGACTCCATTAATGATTGGGCCTGGTGGTTCATGCCTGTAATCCTAGCACCCTGGAAGGCCAAGGCACTCTACTGCTTAGTCTCAGGAGTCTGAAACCAGCCTGAGCAAAACTAAGGCCTCATCTCTACTAAAAACAGAAAAATGAGCCAGGTGTTGTGGCAGGTAGTTATCCTATCTATTAAGGAGGCTAAGGAAGGAGGATGGCTTGAAGTGAGGAGTTTGAGGTTGCTGTGAGCTGGGCAATCTAGCCTGGGCAACAGAGACAGTGTTACCAAAAAAAAAAAAAAAAAAAAAAGATTTTATTAAATATTGTGCCTAGGCTCGGCGCCTGTGGCTCAAACAGCTAAGGCGCCAGCCACATAAACCTAAGGTGGTGGGTTCGAATCCCCAGCCCGGGCCCGCCAAACAACGATGGCTGCAGCCAAAAAATAGCCAGGCGTTGTGGTGGGCGCCTGTGGTCCCAACTATTTGGGAGGCTGAGGCAGGAGACTCGCTCGAGCCCAGGAGTTGGAGGTTGCTGTGAGCTATGATGCCATGGTACTCTACTGAGGGTGACCAAAAAAAAAAAAAAAAAAAATATTGTGCCTAATGGATAACTAAAGTCATTTCGTGAGGTAAAACCTTGCGAAATAAGTGTAAAATCCAACCAAAGAAATAATTTGAAGACAGAACTATAATCACAAGGGAGAATTTGAGTGTGCAGGGGAAAGTCCCTCCCCTTATTTTGTGTATCACTTCAAAACTCTCCAAAGCCACAGGACACAATTATAGGAGGGACTCTACCTAACAAATGCAAATGTTGTGACCTAATTCATTGTACAGTCAAATTAACCTGAAACAATAAATAAATGAATCATGTTTACCTAAAAAAACCAAACAAACAAAACTCTCTAAGGCCTGAAATATTTCTCTTAAACTTTGGAAATTCATTTAACATTTTTATCACTGTATATGCCTTTTCTTGTACTCTCCTCCTTAAAGTAAGTATGAGCATAAGAACGTTCTGCCTGAGGAAGTCCTATTGAATTCTACCTTACCATTACAATATTCCAGCTCAATCAGTAGGGTAGTATTGTCCATGAAGTGATTGTAGTAGGCGATAATGTTGTCGTGCTGCAGCAGTGCCAGAATAACAATCTCATTCAAGGCATCACGACGTTCCTTCTCAGACAGGCGGGTCAAATCAACTTCCTTCCACACAACCAGTGAGTCATCCTACAACACAATGACAGAGGTATTGTGCTTTCCTCCTGCCTGGCAGCAACTGAATTCACACCCTCATCTCTACGCCTAGAAAGAAAACTTCCTAGAGGGGCAGAGACTGATTCCTTTTACTTTTTTCCTTTCAACAGATTTTAGTTACAGGTTCTGTATACAATTGAATGTTATAGTTTATTACAGGCCTTGGGAAAGGAAAGCATTAAGATGTTATTTTGTTGCTATACTTAATTTGTATGATGTCAGTTCCAGATAAAAGTATGGGTTGGGAGTAGATCTCAAAGACTGGATATCAAGACACTATGATAGACTGCTGGTCATGATGGGGATGGTAGGGCTAGAATACTGAAGAACTGAAGAGCAGTTATCTATAGCTGACTACAGATTCCTATAAAATTAAAATACTAAATTTGCCTCTAATTATATAAATTCAGACTCCTATAATAATTTTTATTTATCCTTTCTTGTTAATAACTGTCATGTCCCATTTTGCAACTCCGTAATCTCCTGTCACACTTTTATTATCACACTTTCCTCTATTCACGAACTGACCTAAAATTCCCAATGTTGACTCTTTTCTAAGTATATATAATTCTTTACTGATACTGGAGCAGCCCTACCTATATAATCCGTCCCATCCTTTTCAATGCCTCTTCATGACCTTTAATTGTTTGGAAAAGACCCAGAGGAATCTTTTACTATACTATTTATTCAATGTAACCATTCCCTTAATTTTCAGAGCTCATACGCTAAAATGATATTTGTTGGTTATCTTAATTTATGTATATCTACAACTTAAATGCTCTTTGCTTACTAACATGATTAACTTATTTTCCCATTGAAATATAAACTTCTAGAGGAAAAGCGTTGCTTCTAATCAAATCTTTGTAAATTCACAGAGGTAATAAATATTTGCTGATGTGGACAATGCTATGCAGTTCCGGGAAAGTGGAATCAATTTGAACTCAAAACAAACCTAGTAATCAAGTTCAACAGGACAACTATGACAAGGCCCAGGCAAAAAGATGTGAGACTTTAGTTTGAATCCAAATGTAGGAATATCAATCTTATCTCTTCTTTTTCATATTGAGTGCAAATTAAGAAAATAGACTACTAAGAATAACTAACACCATACATTTATGTGGCATCAGGATAAAAAAGAACACTTCAAAATATTCTCTTGCAACCATCTCTCTCCTCCATCTTTCAGCCTTCAAAGAATGCTGGCTTAGAACACACACCAGAACTGCCAATAGAAGATTTATGGATGAATCAACTTCAGCGACTCCAGCAAGTTCTCATTATTTATCCCAAAGCCAGAGTTTTATGAATTTAGTGATCAAATCCAGTTTATGGTTAGTTTTTGAACGTAGAACCACCACTGCAAGGTTCTAGATTGGCATACATTCTTAACTTGGGATTTAGTGATCCATGGATCTCTCCAAAGATGTGCATATATACAAAAGTAGATGGAAGGGGGGAAGGTTACTTTTCTTACGTCAGGTTCTCAAAGAGATTCCTATCCCACCAAAAGTTTAGAACTGATGGCTTAAAATATACCAGTAAAGTACTTCCCATGCATACACCCTGCAGGATTAACACTGACAAAGATACTGACACACAATGATCTTCCCAATGATCTTCAAGAAGAGCCTACAATTGAGTGATCACTTCTGAACTTAATGACAATGACAGTGGAGTTACAGTTGTAGGAATCTGGAAGTTATAACCCTGACTCCTTCCACCCTCATCTTGGAGAGGATGGAAGTTTGGCAATAGCATGAAAGGAAGTAAGTTTTGGCAATATCTCACATTTGTTAACTACTTTAATTTACACTCTGCAAAGCATCTTTGTTGGCTTCTCAGGATAAACTAAAAAAAAAAAAAGACTTAAGGTAATTATCACTAAGCCCATTTTCCTTGTCCACAGACAGGCAACAAGCTCAGAAATGGTTCGGTGACTTGCTCAGTTCCCCAAATCAAACAAAAAGTCTAGTAAAACTATGCTCTAACCAGTTCCCAGTGCAGGTGAGTTGGCAGAGCGGTGGAGAAGACCTGAGACATATGCCCTACGGGCGCCTAAACACCTCAGTGAGGACTAAGCTCAAGACGCAGGGAAAGCGGGACCGGGCAGGAGAGGCCGGCGGCGGCCCGGCAGCGCTGGGGGGAAGGCGGGAGCCGAGGGCCGCTACCTCGGTGCGGCGGTACAGCGTGGCTTCCCCGAAGGCGCCGCGGCCCAGGACGCGGATGGGGATGTAATGCAGCTCCTCCTGCTCCGCCGCGCCGCCGCCGGCTCGCGGCCCCTGACTGGCGCTGGGTCCCGGGCCCGAGTCCCCGCCACCCCCGGACTCGCTCCCGAAGTCCGAGTTGATGGAATCGCAGTGTCGCTCGTACTCGCCCAGCACCGACATGGCGGCGGCCGCGGGCCTTCAGGACCGGCTGGCGTGTCCCCGGAGGCGCTGGCCACGCTGCACCCCTCTAGGCTTAGACGCCGGCCTGCGGATCCGCCAGCCCTGCAACCCCGTGAGGTTCCATGGTGGCTCCTACCCCCTGACCCGGAAACAGTTCTCGGCGTTTCCGGCCTAGCTGGGTTTCCTCCGCCCACGTTAGGCCTCTAGGTTAGTCCTGCGCTGGAGGCTTCCCGCCCTTGGGGCCGGCCAGGAAAGTGAGGCCTCAGGCTGCAGTTGGCGGGCGTGTTTCAAGGACCTCGTGGAACCTTCGCGAACCCGCAGGATTAAGGACATCGTTGATGTGGACGCCTTCTCGGGTCTATACACCCACCCCCGCATCCCTGGCCAGGTCCCTGTATAGCTTTGAGGGCCTGAGGTCATCTGGTCTCATCTTGGTGTCACAGGATTACAGAAGCAGTCTCTTCCAAACTTAGCGCTCTTGTTTAGAGAGATAGTATAATAATTAAAGATAGTAGAGCTTATTATGTTCTAGGCACTTATGCTAAAGGTTTTCTATTGTATTATCCCCCTTAATCCTAAAATTTCCGTCTTATAGAACTGAGATACAGGGAGGCTGAGTAACCTGCTTAATATGGCACAACTCATATGAGGAGCTGGGAAGTCCAACCCACCAATCTGGCTCCAGAAAAAGCAGGGATGTTGTGGGTCTATGAGAAGGCCATGTGGCTGAAGCCCCCAGTACATGTGAGGTTGAAGAAGAAAAAGATAGGGCCTTAGATGTTTTACAGTTTGGTGTTTCGTATGGGCAATGGAAAATTATTGGAGATTTTTAAGGGAAATATATGATTAGCGACTATACATTCCAATTTAATGGTATGTCCCAGTTTATACCATCTTCTTCTAATAATAATAATAGAGCCTCTTTTGTTCCAATGTCCAACATAGACAATAAATAATACAGTCACTATAGGATCAAAATTATATTTCACAAAGAACTCTGATGACAATGGGGAGGACAAAGACTAGAGGCAGACAGACCAGTTAGTAGGCCAATTATATTCTAAGACGAGGCAGAGATACTATTGAATGAAGAGGAGGTCCAGATTTAAGAAATCCATCTGAGGAACATTTAGAACTTTACGACCAGTTGGGATATGGTTGCTTAATAGATGTTAAGGGTTCAGGAGACTCACAACTAGGTATTTAGCTAGTAGATAGGAATAGCAAATATAGGAGGAAGACATAATTGGCAGAATGGGGTGAGATGTTTGAGGCCTAATAAGTTCACATACCTCTGGCCTCTCCACAGTTCATCAATATTTCTTTCAAAAAATGATGTCCTGCACTCTACATGACACTCTATATAAGGTCTGAATAGGAGAGTGTACAAAGTGACTTCCATCGACTTCCATCTTCCTTGATCTGGAGCTAATATTCCTATTAGTATACCAGACTTCACAAAGGTCATCTTTTTTTTTTTTTAGACGGAGCCTCAAGCTATCCCCCTGGGTAGAGTGCCATGGCATCACAGCTCACAGCAACCTCCAACTCCTAGGCTCAAGCGAGTCTCCTGCCTCAGCCTCCCAAGTAGCTGGGACTGCAGGCGCCCGGCCATTTTTTGGTTGCAGCCATCATTGTTGTTTGGTGGGCCTGGGCTGGGGATTTGAATCCGCCACCTTAGGTGTATGTGGCTGGCACCTTAGCCGCTTGAGCCACAGGCGCCGAGCCTAGGTCATCTTTTTATACAGGAGTATCTGTGATCTTCATATTTGAAACTTTTGGAATGTTGACATGATGCCACAAGTGAAAAATTTTACACCTGACTTCATTTGAAGGGTTGCAGTTAAAATGCAGTTTATTCAGCATCCCAAAGGTGAAAAAAGGCCCCCTCCAGCCCTCTTCAGCTGTGATTTACCTTTTCCACACACACCCAGATTTCCCCATGTAAACACATCTCCAAACATTAATAAAATGGCACATAGGCAGGCCACATGTGCCAGGATACCCACAGGGAGCCAAGACCTACATGCATTACTCATAGTGGGGTTTTTCTTTTTTTGCTATTCTCTGCTTTGTGGTGTGAAGATATTGTTGACAATGTCAAAAAAGAACTCAGATACCCCTATGGGTAAGAGTGATAAGAAAAGAAGTATTTATGTTTATCTATAGAAAGAGGATTATTTGTTTATTTATAGCACAGAAAGTTAAAATTGTGAAGAAAGTGGACAGCCATCCAAGTGTGCATAGAGCTAAAAATGAAATGCTCAGTCACATATATATTGAAAGAGTGAATTCGTCAACAGCACAATGAATACATACTATTTAATAATACACTGATCACAAAACAAGCAAAGATCCATAAAGATGAGCTGAAAATTGAAGGGAACTGTGAATATTCAACACATGGTTGCAGAAATTTAAGAAAAAACAAGGCATTAAAGTTTTAAAGATTTGGGCTGGGTGTGGTGGCTCATGCCTATAATCCTAGCACTCTGGGAGGCCAAAGCAGGAGATCCCTTGAGCTCAGGGGTTCAAGACCAGCCTGAGCAAGAGTGAGACCCTGTATCTACTGAAAATAGAAAAATTAGCCAGCATTGTAGCAGGCACCTAACCCAGGTATAGCGGGCATCTATGCCAGGCACTTTGGAGACTGAAGCGGGAGGATCGCTTGAGGCCAGGAGTGTGAGGTTGCTGTGAGCTAGCTGAGCCCACGGCACTCAACCCTAGGCAACAGACTGTCTCCAATAAATAAATAAATACATAAAATTCTTTTTTAAAGATTTGTAGTGTTATAGAATCTGCCAACCAAGAAACCTTAGGGAAAATCCATTGATGAGTTAGCTGTGTCATCCCTGATGAAAATCTGATGCCTGAACAAGTCTATACTGCTGATGAAACATCACTGTTTTGACATTTTTGCCCCAGAAAGACACTAACTACAGATGAGAGCCCATAAGGAGTCAAAAATGTCAGAGATAGAATAACTGCAGAATTCTGCAGCAGGCCTGGGTAAGTGTAAACTTTTTGTGATAGTTGAAAGCTTGCATCCTTACAGTTTTAAAGGAGTGGAATTTTAACCAGTCCATTATCATGCTAACAAAAAGACCTACATTATCAGGGATGTCCTTCTGTTGGTTTCATGAACATTTTGTACCAGTGGCTCACACTCATTGCAGGGAAGCAAAACTGGATGACAATTGCAAGATTTTGTTATTCTTTGACAACTATCCTACTCTTCCTGCAGCTAAAATTCTCCTCAAAGATGTGTTTACACCATGTACTTGCCCCCAAATGTGGCTTTATTAATTCAGCCATGTGACTGGAGTATCCTTGTATCAATGAAGAGTAAATATAAAAACATTTCTTGAATAGCATGCTAGCACGCAATGAACAGAAGCATGGATGTGGAAGGTTTTCAAAAGGAATTTAGCATGAAGGATGCTGTGTGTGCTGTTGCCAATTCTTAGAATACAGTGACTAAAGACACAGTTGTGCAACTATGGCCTGGCCTGCAACCATGAACAAGGTGGTGATTTTTAAGGTCAGGTGAGAAAAAAAGTTTGACATCCTTACATATGCAAAATATATACCTTCACAGTCCATCAGTAAGCTGGAAGAAGTATCAAAGAAGTGTTAATATAGATAATGTTCATTTATTGATGGTTGGTTAAAATGGTTCTGTATCGAAGTGATCATGACAATAGTGATGATGATGATGTTAATACTTCAGAAAAAGTGCCTATAGATGACATGGTGACAATCTGTGATGGGCTTACTGAAAGACTAGAGCAGTGTGCATTCAAACAGAACAAGAAATCATGGCAGTTTACAAAATCAAAGCAAAACCTAGGACAAAAACCGTTGTTAAGGGAAGATGACTCTGAAGGAAACACTTTAAAAATCCATCCAGCAGAATACCTCATCTCTAGAGGACCCACTTCCTGGTCCCTCAACTGCTTCTGATGTTTCTTGTCACCTAAAAAAAATGAAATACAGTGTTCAGTAACCTTTTAATCAAAACAGCATTGTAGGTGGAGACTGAAAACCTGTTGTCATTTGCTGTTGCTGTTAACAGCTGGTACAAGTATTCGGGTGAGGCTACTATATTTAGTTACTCCGAACACATAATTTTCTTGCTGTATTAATGTATGTCATTTTTTTTACTGTTATGTACTTGTATGTGAATAAGCATAAGAAAATGATTGCTTATTGGTAGCATATAAATTCACACTCAGGAATGATGGTGATGCCAAACAACCACAGATGCATACGTGGGTGGCTGAGATAGTGGCACCTTTGCTTTCTGGTGGTTTGATGTATATACAACATGCATAAAATTATTAAAAATACTGTATAAATCACCTTTGGGCTGTGTATATAAGGTGTATATGAAACATAGGTAGATTTCATGTGTAAACTTGAGTCTCACCCCCAAGATATAACATTAGATATTTGCAAATATTCCAAAATGTTAAAAAATCCTAACTCCAAAACACTGGATCCCAGTCATTTTGGATAAAGGATACTTGAGCTGTAATGTACTTAACAGAATCTCTCTTTTCCACATCTACTCCAATCCAATCCAAAGTAACACAGCCCTTCTATCCTATCACATCAGTCCTTATTTACTTCAGAGTGCTTATCTATAAAATACTGGTCTTTTTTAGGTTTGTTTTATTGACTCTCTCCATTCATTAGAATATAATCCCCATGAGAACTTGATTTTGTTTTCTTGTTCACTGTTATGTATCATCAATGCCTAGCAATGTGTTTGGCATTATAGTTGAGGCTTAAAAATTATTTGTTGAATGAATATCAGGTTATTATCACACATATATATATATATATACATACACATATATATATAAAACATTTACTAACCTAACTGTAAAACTTCCTGATAATCCTTGTTAAAATTTTCTTTTTTTTTTTTTTTTTAATTGAGACAGAGTTTCACTTTGTCACCCTCTGTGGAGTGCCGTGGTGTCATAGCTCCAACTCTTGGGCTCAAGCGATTCTCTTGCCTCAGCGTCCTTAGTAGCTGGGACTACAGGTGCCCGCCACAACACCTGGCTATTTTTTTGTTGTTTAGCAGGCCCTGGCTAGGTTCAAACCCACCAGCCCTGGAGCATGTGGCTGGCGCCCTCACCACTGAGCAT